GTTTGAATTAATCAGCTTAATTAAGGTGAATGTATACCCAAAAATTTATTTAGTTTCAGAACTTAAATGTCTGGGCAATGATAATTCCATATCTACATTTGTTATGAAGTTTGACTGTATACCCCACTTTATCATTGTTCCTTAATATTAAATACTGTTAAGTACAGTCGTACAGCAGTTTCCAAGCTCTCACAATCAAGTATTTTTCTGATTCTACATTGTAATACTAAATTTTATTTACACATTATTTTGGAAACTTAGTGATATGAAGGGGTTTTCCTCATAGATCAAGATCACCACTAGGGGTGCAGTTCCTGCCAAGGCGGTCTCTTAGACTCCTCTACCCCAGCTGCCTAAAATATATGAAAGCCGCAATACCCGGGGGCTTTTGAAATTGTTAGTAAGATATGAAAGCTTGCAGTGAAAGGGTATCATCCCACGATCCCATCCCACTCCCCCCTCTTTTTCTTTTCCTATTAAAAATGCAGCCATAGGAACTGGGGAGGAGAACTAGGAATGTCACACGTTGAATCAGTCAGTACAGAGTTGCAGGAAGCTCAGTAACATTAATTCTGAAGTAACACAGTGTACAAAGGGGGGAAAACATCTTAAGGGTCAAACTAATGGACATAGTCTAAGCAATCTTGGTGGCACTGTTGAACGAAAACCTCTGTTTAGCAAGTAGTATGATCAAGAATAACAAGAAGTTTGGATCCAGTAAGAACAAGTCAGGGAATTATATGAAAAATATTCTAAGGGCTTTTGATCAATTGTTGGAACAGTTCTGGAATATTCAATATTCTCTCAGATTTTCACTTTCAAAAAGACTTCACTGCCCTCCTGAAGTGTAAGAGAAGATTTCTCTTCAAAGCCACTTATGCCCTCCTCTAGGGAAGATTCAAATGAGTGGGCCTGGTTAGCTTTGAAAACAGAACAACATGAGGGAAACCAAGGAAAGGATAAGGGAATGAAAGAGTAAAGGGAGAAGATAAAGAACTTCTTTCTGTTTTTCAAATTTTAAAAAGCCCAAAAGGAACTACTCAGGGAAATTAAAGACAGCAGATTAAAAACAGACAGAAAGAAACACTTTTTCACATCATGTGCGGTTAAAGCTGCAGAAAATATAATTACCACAGGAAGAACTCAATAAGATTCTGATGTGTTTGCAGATGTATAAGGATATCAAACATATCAAGAGCAATTTAAAGCTGCTGGAAGGCACATGTATTTCTTCAGGGAAAACTGTCCAAGCATTTTAAAACTGCACAAAGACACGTGCTAATCAGAGTGAGATACAAAGAAGAAGGTCTCTGTGAGATAATGCATCTACAGGATGTCATTAAAGAAATGTCACCTCCTCTTAAATCCTTTGCATTCATTCTCTCTCCCTCCCTTTAAAGAAACAGCACAGAAAGGGACAATATCAGCCCCACTGAAAGACCATTTTGTTTAGGGTATTGTCTGAGCTGAAAAGGTGTCTGCCAGCCATCTCCCCAGCATGCTCTCATTTCAGCAGCCTTCAGAGTGTCCCATGTATCAGGAAACGTGTATTTGCCTTGAAATTTATATACCTGGTTCTACAATTAGCTGGATGCTTTCTAATTTTATGAGCTCAGATTGTTTTTAAAAGCAGAAAGCACCATATGCAGTATCTCTGTAATTTCCCATCTTGCTTTTTTACATGACTAAGTAGTCACAGTAATGATGCTTGTTTCTTTTTATGTTACATCATGTTAACTGTACCTGCACTGTCATGTGTCAGAGAAAATATCTAAAACTGTGAGGTCTTTTTCATTTAAATGAAACAATTTGTCAACAACACAACTGAGTGCAAATGAGGCCAAAACAGAGGGAAGTGTTATAAGCAACTTAACATTAGCATTACTCTGATGCTGAATTTATAGCCTTCCTAAACAATACGCTACAGTGCGTTTTTTTTCTAGGCTCTCTTTTTCCCCCAGATTTAGTCTGTTATTTACATCACATCCACTAAGCAGGAAGATATTATTCCCTTTCTTTTTGCAGCTTCCTTCTATGCATTTCAACATGCTGCTGTATCCCTTGAACTCCAAATTACATGACAGTAATGCTGACACCAGAGACTGACGTTACCCTAGCAATGAGACGGTACTTGGTATACAAAAAAAAAAAAAAATAAATTTTTCTGAAACATAAGGAATGTCACAAACCTAAGTCTGGCACAATTGGCTTGAAACTCTGAAACGCTAATAATAACGCTGGCTTAGGGCTATTATTATTGCAGCTTCTACTGGAATGCACAGTTGCTGCTACTGTGGCTTCAGATGACTCCAGTGTTAAGATCAGAAGAATCCCATGTCCTCTCTCCTTATCCTCCTTTCAGTGACAGAAACCTTTCCATGTTATCTTTGTTCAAATCACTTCAAAACTTTCCTAACCTCTCTGTTTCATATCCAGGCTTATAGAGATAGGCTGGATGTAACAGAGGGGGAGATACATCCTCTGTATGGACTCTTGGATAGGTTAAACAGCATTGGCATCACATCTTTTTCTTCAAATCATCCCAAGTTCCTACACTGAGACTTACAGCATGGCATTTCACTGATGGAGAATCAATGAAAAAAATATTATGTGCTGCCATTAATCCTCACATCAGTCATCATCTTCTTAGAGACAAAATCTCTCTCACTGTCTGCCTTTGAAACTGTAAAGAATAAATTCAGGAATAAAGTAATATGTCTGACATAATACAAGAATAGCAACATTAAACTACATTTGACTCCTTAAAATCATCTAATTCCTCTAAAAAAAATACAACCTGGAAGGACAAAACTAATTTCTATTACGTCTTGACAAAGCTTAACAAACTTTCCTTTAATTTTCAAACCAAATGTTCCTTTCAAAGACATCCTTTCAAGATGGGAGAAAAATGCTATTATTTAATAGTAAACTGTAAGAACAATCTTTTAAGTGTACAATGCTCTTGCCAGTTCTCTAAGAACCCAATACTAAAATCCCAATTTACCTTTCAAATAATGATTATTTACCATAATATTTCTTCTCCTGTTTCATTATTTAGTTTTGAAGAGATGAAGATACAATCTACACAGGATCAAGAAGGAAGGTGAAAAATGTGCAATGAGACAGTTGCTGCATTCCAAATGTTCGCTACAGGTAAGATATCTTTGCCAGGAGATGAAACATGTAAGCAGCACGAACACTGTCCAGAGGAATACTGGAGGACTGTGTCTATGCAGAGGCAACAGAATTACTTGAGATGAATAACAGGATTGTGATTAGGATATGCTGGAAATAAGGTTTTTTGTACAGGTTGGAATAATTTTTTTTCACTTACCAGTGATGGAATTATGAAATATTGTTGGCCATATATTTTGCTGATTACACAAGGTATTATCTCTGATTGAAAAAATATATCATTTTTTGTGCCTCAGAAGAATGAAATGACCAGTTTTTAATGTATAATGGAAGGTACAGAGTAAGAAACATATACTAAAGGGATGGCTGAAGCAACAAAGAAATTTCCCATGGATGCAGATCAACTGACCATTTAAAGAAACTCTCTGACAACTTTAAACAATCTTTAGAAATTTTCTTTCCATTACAGTGTAACACCACACCATCTCAACCACCATTACCCATCCCCTCACCAGCTTGCCTTGGCTCTGCACATGTGCTCAGCAGAAGCTAACTGATTGGCAATGGGGCAAGGCAAAATATACCTCAAATTTTCTGCATTTTCACGAGATTATCGCACCAGCTTGCAGCCCCCTTTGAAAACTGCCCTATTCCATCTCCTTACTCCCAAATATGAGGTTTCAGCAACCTCTTTGTTGTCAGAACTTCCATAATATCTTTTAAACAGATGAACACATGAAACTTCTACATATGCAAGTCCTATTTCGTTCTACTGTGTTCACAGTACAAGGCAGACAGGAGAGATGACAGTCTCTGTTTTACCAGTGAAGCAACAGTTTCACTCCACCATGTGTGCAGCAAGGACATAGCTGTATAATTAAAAATCCACAGTCCATGACCTTAGTCTCAGTAAATCCCCTATTTATGAAAAATTGCAAGAAATTCCAGTTTCCTCACTGGAACTGGAGATGCACTGGTGGGGGATCCACACTTTGAATGCCAGAATGCTCTTCTTTCAAGGGTCACTCACCTAAGGAAACCTTTCAGCATGTATCACAGTTATACTGGAAACTTGGTTTTCATCACACTTTTGTTGGAGTATCTTTTTGTCCCCCTTTAATTTACCATTGACGTAACAGTAAATTTCTGTAACGTAAATGGTAATTTTTAAAAACTGTCGTTTTATTCCACCTTTCCTTTTCCAGTTTTATATTTATGAATGGTAGTTCCAATTTCATTCTCTTCCTGCTCTCTGAACCCTACCAACGCTGAAGTAATTTTTCCTGTTTCATGTTTAGACCCGTATAAAATTGTAGTGTCAATTTATGGGGATGGCTCCAGTCCCTGTGTCATAAACAGGATCTCTACAAGACGACAAACCTAATGCCACTTTTACAATAAAATAAAGTTACAGGACTAGGAGAACTAAATTTTCAAAGAAATAATAACTTCTTTTCCTGACCAAATTTGAAAAGGTTAATAAAATTACCTTGACAGCTGAGATTCAGCTCCAAGACTGCCCAGTGTACCATCACTCAGAGCTACTGCCATCCCTCCAGGCTTCTTCGCTTTACCAGCAGTGCCCTCAAGTCAATTTTTAGAAGCAGGTAAGAAGAGATTCCCTTTAAAATGTTGTGAATTGCAGAGTTCTGATTTCAAAATATAGTCAAGAATTTGTGATGTTTCAACAAAATTGGCTTAAAGCACATGTCAATTAAAATAGGTTTACATCTAGCATATCATGCTGCACTTCTGAATGCTGACTAGCTTAATACTTAACACATTATGTGGACTTGTTGGATCAGATTATTTGGTGAAAGTGCAGAGGCAATTTCACTTTTAGACATTATCGAATTTATTCTTACCTGTTTGGAGATTTCACTCCTTTTCCAGGTACCTTGGAAGCAGGTATTTTCTGTAGTTCTCTTATAGTCTCCCACCCTGTGAGGAAGACGTTATCAGAAGTGGCTAGGGAATTTTAAACTCAAGAAATTTATAAGGATTTTCTCGTGACTATCCGGTCTTCACTTCTGCTGTGCTCGCCCTGCACTCTTTGGTTAACCATTAACCACGTTCAGACCTGTGTTCATCAGCTTTATCAGCCGTTCTTTCTCAACAAGGGAAAAACGGGAAACCTGTGAGCTCATTCAGCGGCATTTCACATGCACTGGGATGGGAGGAACATGGGACTTTTCACTTACTCACAGAGCCTCAAGTGTAAAATCCAATGATAAGAGGGACAGAGCGAGCCAAGAGCGCCGGCAGGTCCTGCCTCAGCCGGGCCGTGGCCGGGCAGCTGCACTGACGAGAACGTCCACACAGCGGAGGTGTCTGACGGGTCCCTCTGAGGAAGCGAGCGGGACAATTTGGGACGCCCCAGAGCCAGTCATTCCAGGGCAGCGGCTGCCCGACTGCCTATAGGGGAAACCCTCACATTCACAAACCGGAGACGAGTTCCCCTTGGTGGGGCAGGGGTAGGGAAAGGGACGAGCATCCCACGGCGATCCATGCGCCAGCACTGACACGTGCATCAGTCGACCCGCCGGGCGCACCCTGCCTACACTTAGAGCTGTTTTACAGCAGTTTCACAAGAGACAAGGCCCAGGGTGCCGCCATAAAACAAAGGAAACCAAACCGAGGAAAAGCCCCAGATCCGCACGTTTAAGGCCGGGCCGTGCGTGGCGCCCCGTGATGTGTGTTGCCGGGAGCCTATTCGGCAGCAGGATCCCCACCCACCCTCCAGGACAGGATGTAACCGGGCTGGGCAACAGCGTTTGATCTCATCAATGCATATAAAATATCTCAAAGGTGGGTGCCAAGAGGATGGCGCCAGACTCTTTTTGGTGGTGCCCAGTGACAGGATGAGGAGCAATGGCCAGAAATTAAAACACAACAAGTTCCACCTCAACATATGGAAGAGCTTCTTTAAGTTGAGTGTGGCAGTGCTCTGGAACAGGCTGCCCAGGGAGGTTGTGGAGTCTCCCTCTCTGGAGACATTCAAAACCTACCTGGACACGTTCCTGTGTAACTTGCTCCAGGTGACCCTGCCTTGGAAGGGTGGTTGGACTAGATGATCTCCACCTTCCAGCACTAACAATTCTGTGATTTTGTGATTGCCTCTTCCCATTCTCTCCCTGCTTGGGCAACAACACACTCCTGTGCACTGCTGAATGAAAATACCCATAGATATACCCACAGAAATACCCAGAGATACCCACTTATGCAAAACTTTTAGGATACCCATTCCAGACTTGAAAGTAGTACCTATTCTCAGTTTAGAGCTCATTTTAGAATACAGGTCATTTATCACCCTGTTTTGGGGCTGAATGAAGCCAGACACTACTCTTGAACAACTTCAGGGCCCTGACAGACTTCACTGTGCTGTAGTAGCCCCACTTCTGCAGCAAACCATCCCAGTGGCAGGCTGGAGAGGGGGATGGTACACAGGGACAGCTGTTGCATCCCATTTCTGGGAGGGTAGGAAGCATATTCAATACTGACATGGCTGTTTCAATAAGGGCAGCCTTAACCTTAATTCAGTCAGTGGGAGCCTCCAGTTGATTATAGAGCAAGTTTTCTTGGTCTTTCCTAAACTATTAGTGCTACCTTCAGTTGCTTCTGTATTGAGCCAGCTCTCATGGGTACATGCACTGGATCAGATCAAAAATATCTCTACCTCCTGCCTAAGACTTAGTAGTGGACATGTAGGGAAGATGTACATATATATGGGCTGTTAAGTAATGATTCTTCCTCTAAAGACTGCTCTTGGCACTTTTTGGCATGTGACCAATGGATTTCCAGAGTGAAAGATGGTATTTTTGTAGTTAACATTCTATCAGCTGAGTTTTCTCTATCATGATGTTTAAAGCCCTTTGTGAACCCATGGGAACTTTTCCCACATTCTGCATTTTGTGGTGGAGATTATATGAGCAGTCTGTGACGAAATATTTCTGTTTTTCCTGAACTGGGCCCCTGCACACTTCAGATGACTCTTGAGTTTTGTATCGAAAAATATCATAATTAAATGTTTTGTATTCTGCTCAGCTGCCTATGTTTATCTATGTCTGTTATCCTACCCTCACTCTTTGCTTTCTAGTTGACCGAACTGTCTTATTATTTTTGATTGTTCCTCTGACCCTCATGTCTGTTTTTCCATTTCTGCTGCATCCCAAGTCTTCCTTTCTGCTCCTGCCATAGGAGTTCCTGCTCTCTTATACTTTCAAGGACAGCATCTTCTAAGATTTTGTTAGTGAAGGTATGAATACAAGCAAGAAGATGCAAATCCCTTCCAGGCACACGCTCTTCTCTGAAGCACTGTTTTCTAGAGCAGGTCAAACGCTTGTTCCAGCAATTGATAGTAAATACTTTGAGGCAAAGTTTGTAAGCCTTCAATGACTTTCATCCTTGTTTAGCTAGCTGTCTTACAAATCATGTTTTCAGTCTTTAGTGAAAAAAGTGTTTCTACCCACCAATTCTATAGTTACCAAATTGCATTCTTCCATCACTAGATCTGTTGTGGAGTTATTTTTCAAGAAGCTTTAATCCTCAGAGCTTGCCTTGTTTCTATATTTGTTTTTGCCTTTGGACCTGATTTGAAGAGTACTACAGCAACCTGAAAACTAGATGTTGCTAAGTCACACAGAGCACATAATTATCATGTTAATATATTCAGCAGCAGACTTATGAGGTAAGTCTGAGGGAAGCGGAGAGGAAACTGACTCTAAGGAACTGGTGAGCAGCACTTGGGCATCACAGCACTGTCTTCACCGTGTTCCTAGTCACACCCAAACCATCGCTTGGACAATACTGCCTAAGAGTAATTCTTTTCTCCATTCTACTTCCTTCCCAGCTGAGCTGAGCTGAGCCTCAGAGCCCATAAACCCAGGCTGTACTTTGGCTCAGAGCTGGCAGCTGTTTGTAATTTAGCCTTCCTATTCCCCAGTTGTGGCACCAGAATCTTGCAGCCAACAGATGGGTAACAACTGATTATAGCAAAGCACACAAACCTGTGTAACCAACAAGTGTTGCAAGACCCTGTTAATCACAGCTTAGTGTCTTATGTGAACTGATCTTTCTTGCTAAAACATCTGCTAGTATCTGCGCAAAATGATGAGCAATTAGAGCAGAATGTCTTCAGGCTAGGAGTTTGCAGAGTGAGTGTTACACAAGCTAATTCATTTTGAAGTCTCAGATGTGACTAATCGCAATATCTAATGAAAATCATATAGCTCTTGGACATAGTTGTGATATATTGGGTTTTCAAATGCTAATTAAATTGTGCTTCAAGTTAAGGAAGGAAGACATAAGATTTAGGATGCAGAAGCAACCCAAATTAAGGCAATATGGGTATTTCAAAGCAAGATACTTTTCTCCATCTGCTGACATTGTTACTGAAGTTTCCAGGACGTCAGACAAACAATCTACAGACTGGACTATGACAAACCATATTAAAGCATTACTAAATTAGCAATAACAAAAATTAGCAGTAACAAATGTCCAAAGTCATATAAAGTTCTACTTACTTCAAGGGAAATGTCTCATTCTGGGGATGTTTTTCTCATCTGGTTTTACAGGTACAGGTAGTGTTAAATTTTGGAGTTCTAGTGTAGAATTTAGGAGTTCTCTGTGTCAGGATGAAAGTGCTGCAGCCACATGCTGTAAAACACTAGTCTGATAGGAATTTACTTATAGGTCCAAACACATTTGACCTGTTTTGCCAGGTGAACTTCATGCTAGAATGCTTTATGTAGCATCATCACATGTCTGACTATGTCTATTGTTCTGCAACTAATGTGAAAGCAGCACAAGCCTTCTATCAGGCAAGTAATTCAAATCTGTACCACACACCCACTTCTGGCCCAGAGTAATTTTGCACAGGTGATAGCACAGGTACCTGCTGCTAATGTCAGGGGCCAGATTTCACGGTTTTCATGTTGCATTTGCCACAGGGGTGGGCAGTTTGGACAAACACGCAGGCAGCACTACCCTACCACTGGGCAGGCTTACCAAGATATTCTTGTTGTGGTTTTTTTTTTTTATTTTATTTCTTGCCTATTCCAAATGCAGTATATACAATAAAGCAACCTGAGGTTTTGGGGTTGATTTTTTGTTGTTGTTGTTTTTTGTTTTGGTTGGTTTGGTTTTGGTTTGGTTGGTTGGTTGGTTTGTTGGTGGTTTTTTGGGGGTTTTTTTACAGGTTTGTGTAGAACTATAGCCCTTGACTTTTAATGGTTACAGAGGGGGCCAGTTTCAATGCATGGCTTCCTTTAACTAAGCAAGAAATAGGCATCTTCAAATCTTTTGGAAGCAAGCAGTACCCTTCATTAGTGAAAAAGTAACTTGCTGTGTGCAGGATAGTAAACTCTAATCACTTTAGGTTCAATATGCATCTCCAGATAGAAAAAACTTGGCAAATATCAAAGCCCAAAGGAAGTACTCTGCCTCTATGTGCTGATGAATTTCATAATGCTAGCATACTAAGTCATGCCACAGTGCAGTATAAACTCACATGAAGATGAAGCATGCAGAAGAATTCAGAGCGTGACAAAGTCTTGAATGCATTTGATGGCTTCTATGGATTATCAAGGCAGAAACAGGAAAGGATTGTGTCCAACTAAAAAGTGAAATATTCCCAACCTTCTGTTATTCCATCTACCAGAAGAACAACCAATTGTCCCTCGCCCAACCTGGATTTTTTATGGAAGAACATATTTTGTGCAGATGTGCTTTTCCAGACAAATGCCGATAGACCACTCAAATACAAGGATTACAGGCATGAACAGTTGCTTTCTGAAAGCACTATTGAAAAGTTTTCTGATCCAACAGCTATCAGGCCAATAAAGTGTTTTATGCAGAGTGTACATTTTCAGTGAGTTATAGCTTTATGACCTGAAAGATGCACATGCTATGTTTTCCTGATTTGATTCTAGCAGCCTTCCCAAATGAATAAATATCATAGCAGAATGTCCCCAGTAATTTTCCTCAAACAAAAGAGGCAAACAAGTTCTTTTCTAAATAAAGTGCAGTCTGTCCTAATAGGAAT